AGTATTACGGGGATCCCCGTAGCAGCCACATCCATGCTCAAGCCTCCAACGAGGGAACATGCGGGAGCTGCACCCACCAGCAGGTGCGGTACCTGCTACAGAAGGTGGGCGATACCGGCCAGGGGTCAGCCTGTAGCATCAGGACCGAGCTTCTTCGATGGGCCAGTCACTGTGCCTCCCCTCCGGTCCCCTCCCCCTATGAACATCAGCAGTCTCTGCTCAATGCCACTCGATGGGCCAGTCACAGCTTGCCCAGGAAGGTACATAAGGCGAATGGGGATTGAACCCAGAACCTCCTGAATGCCACTTGCGTGCCTTACCAACTGAGCTAGGCCGTTGACCGCGGCAGGAAAACGCGTGCTGGGGGCAAAACCGCGTGCTGGGGGCCGGTCTATCTGATGCGCAGCAACAATGATGTGATGTGCATCGGGCATGGAGGCAGTGGAATCGTCACACAACCCACACAGTACAGTCGCATTCGTCTAAACGGCTTCGGAATCTTCTCCGCCAACGTTGAACCTACTTTCTTCTATTGTTCGGTGCACACTGTACGCGCACGGAAAGGCAATCATAGTAGTAATTGGAAGAGGAGAAAGAGGAGGCGACGACGGGGAGGAGGAAAAGAAGGAGCCGCAGGCAGTTCCGCCTGTCCGCCTGGCGGAGAAGGAGCTGCCCCTCCCCCCCCTCTCCCTCCCCCAGCCCGCCCTCAACACCCCCCCCAAGAACTTCTTTTACTTTTTCCCTTTCGGAAACAAGAAAGACGTGCTGCCCCCATTTGACGCGGTAAACTTTTAACCATAGCGAAGCAATACGGAGCTTTGTTGCTGCGAGAGAAGACGGACGGCTGTCGTAAAAAAAAACCGCCCTCTTGAAAGAAGTGGGTACAGAAGAATTTGTTGCTCAGCGAGGGACTACAATGGAGAGCCCTCATGAGGAGTCGTCAATGTCCGAATCTGATTCGGTCGAGGACATGGCACCACCTTCCTTTCGTCAAACTGTATCAACGACGTGTTCCTTCGTCCACTCGTATGCTGGTGGAAGCTGGAGAAGCAATGGCGTGGGAGGAGGAGGAGGAGGTGCTCCACTGCAGATTGACGTCGGCGCAACAGGGGACAGCTGCGAAGCTGTCCGCATTCTCGCAGCTGTAGCATCGACGCCACAGCAACGAGCAATGGCCGAGGAGCAGCTGTGGCGCGTCGTGAAGAGAAGCGAGGAGGGATACGAAGCGGCTGCTCTTGCCCTGGGGGAGCTGTACGTCAGTCAGAAGAGGAACTACTTGTTCACCATCATCGCGCTGGAGAACGTGGTCTGCAGTGCGCAGGCTGAACACAACCGCAACCGCGCTATGTATTTGCTGAGCCAGCTGTACATCAGAGATTTAACGATGTTTCGGGAAAGGGGGACGGGTTTCCTAACGAAGATGGCCGAAGGCGGAGATGCCAGCGCCAGCTTCCTGCTCGGGCTTTATTATTTGGAAGGATGGCATGGCTTCAGCAGAGATCCGCGCAAGGGAGTGGAACTGCTGCGCAGAGCGGCGCAGGCCAAGCATACGCTGGCCATGGCTGTTCTCAGCAAGTGCTGCGCAGAAGGAACAGAGGGACAGCCGAGATGCGAAGCGGAAGCGAGAAGGCTCCTAGATAAGGCAGCGAATCTAGACTGTGACGTGGCGGGGACGCTGAAAGGTCTTGTCTTGTTGCGAGCAAACCCCTCCGACCACCAACTTCAAGTCGCAGAACGCTGTCTAAAGACGAGCGCAAACAGGGGGTTCTATTTCGCGCAATTGGCCCTCGGGATGCTCAGGGATTTTGAGTCTAGGATGGAAATGGCACTGGAGAAGTGGGACCGAACCTGGCAGTGCCATTCCAGCTGCACTGCTGCTGCTGCTGCTGCTGCTGCTGCGGTACCTAGGAGAGGGCCGTCCTCAAACAACGATGGCCAGGAGAACGACACCCCGGGGCACTGGTACTCAATGGCGGCCAAAAACAGTCGCGTCTTTGACATAGAGATAGCTAGCTACCTGTACGGGTCACACTTCGACAGGCTTAAATGGTGCTTGCTGTACTTCATTGAGGGACAACCGCTCCTCCCAATGGCAAGGCCGAAGGCAGTGACAAGACAGCCGTCACTCGATCCGGCCAAGCTCTGCAGAGAGATCACACAAGTCTGCGAGGTCGGACTGCACGAGGAGGCAGGGATGTGCTCAGGGGAGGCAATGCTGAACAAGTGGGCCAAGGAGGGCAAAGGCCGACTGGTAGATTATCATCTAAACCTCACAGGGTTCTTGAAAGCCGCTTACGATCAGGTGGTATCTGGCCTTGCGACTGGGAACTCCACTGGCATAGCCGACCTTTTGCGTGAGGCGTGGGAACACTGGGAAAGCCTGCATTCGTCACATCTGCTTCTTGTCCTCGGCAAGCGAGGCTTGAAGCGCCTATGCAAAATTTATCATGTGCCCAGCTTCGTAAGCTCGCCGTTACTGATCCTGGTTGATAGGCTGACGGAGGCAAACGACCAGAAGCGGATCAAGGTAGTAGTGAAGAACATGTACTCTCTGGCAGATCGTGTCAACGACATTGGCTTATACTTAACCCTTCTCAGAGAGGAACAGATCGCCAACATGGACATAGTCATGCCACTGGTCTTCCCGAAACAGCTCGGCGGAGAAGCCGGGCTGGGCAGACGATTGCAGCAAGCATGCCATGGCCTCGTAAGGGTGGTTCGGCAATCGAAGAGAAGGAGGAACTCGTCGACATTGTTCTCACCCCTTCCCGGGTCTGACAGAGGTATTGCCGCACTGGCGATGGCGGATGCCCTGCACGTGCTCGATGCAATCACAAGCGTGCTGGTGGAAATCAACGGCGGGGACGATGAATACGTCGTCCTCCGACGGCCTGTCAGATACAGCAGCATCATTCAGCGGGTCCTACTCACAGTGCTGCAGAAGTCTCGAACTTCCAATCACGACGTTTCGGATTATTTTGGCGTGCCTGGGGTACTGGTGTCTTAACTTAAAGGCCGACGCTCATTTCTCTAGGGGATGTGATGTTCTGTGACAGTCATTCTCACTTCCACACTCTTACACCGTGTCGACGACCTAACCGAAGGTCTCTCTTTCTGGAAATAAGTTGATTTGCCTTTAGATCTTATTACTTTTTACGGGACAAGAAAAAGATTTTAAAGCGGGGGGGGGGAAATCCCACTGTACATACTACATATTTATTCTAGTACGTATTATGTATTTTACTAGAATTTTAGTATTCTGGCTTGAAAAGTTTTCTACCAACCAACAGAGGTCTGTTCTTTCTAGTACGTATTATGTAGTTTACTAGAATTATAGTATTCTGGCTAGAAAAGTTTTCTACCAACCAACAGAGGTCTGTTCTTTCTGCAAAGAACTGGCATTTTTGCCTGTAGATGCTGTTGATGTCCCGACTCCGACGTGGTGTACAATTATAGGCTAGAGAACTTGAAGCTTAGTGAATTGGAGAAGATATTTTTACAATTCTCGTAGAGATATTTGGAGAAGCCGAAGAACTTCCAGGCGGACCTCCGACTCTAGTGTTTACAGTTTCAACTTTAAGTAATTGAATTACTTTTTACAACGATGTCATGTTTGAGTAACTTCGTACAAGATCAATCTGGCATGCCCCTGTGATGAGCAGCAGTTAAATTGGCAAATTGGAGACGAATAAAGATCATTGAATGTTTGCAATTCTCTCTATAATTCTCCTCTCCTCTTTGGTTTCCTTGAAGGACGTAGCCCCCAAAATCATTGTAAACGGCAGAGCTTGAGCACATGATCTGGTCATTCAGAGTGATATCTGCGTGTGTGGCGCCTTCAGAGGGAAGCCTCGGAAACAGAGAGAGAGAGAGAGTGGATGTACCCACACCGAGATAGCATCTCGAATTCGAAATGCGAATTGCATGCTCCCGCTCTTCCCCATCCTTCTTCGCGTCTTCTCCTCCACCTTCCCCCGCGGACACACACACACGCGCGCGCGCGCGCGCACACACACACACACACACACAGAGAGAGAGAGAGAGAGAGAGAGAGAGAGAGAGAGAGA